GACCTAGGAACAACAGCAATGAAGAGTTGGTTCTATGCTTCTCAAGGAGGCCTTGCTGTTGGATGTCTGACAAATTTACGTGTACACATAAATTTTGAACATACTGTATTAGAACGATGTATGTTAGAGTAGGTATACATCTCTACAGATGGTTGGTGCCAATTCTGACAAAATTGGTTTTTTGATTGATTGCGTTGAGCAAGGCAAATTCATTAACACGCGTAACTCTTCCTTGTATTCTGAATATGTTAGAAAACTCATGGTGTAAATCGAGACTTGTATTAGTTCTAATTAAGTGTACAATTTTGGCTAATCTACACTACTTCGAGAAGATGTCCGTCTATTTATTTAATTATTAGCTAGTGACACACTTCGGGGGAAAAAATAAGCACATATGTAAATTATTCAAGCTTTGGTTTTTCCAATTCAGGATGAAGCACCTTTCTTACATTCTTTCATTTGAATATTTTAATTCTTTGACATAAAGTTTTTTTTTCACGATACATTAAATAGAAGTGAATATAGTTGATGAAATAGAAAATGAGCGGAAAAAAAAAAAACTATGTATCGAGGAAGGCATTACTTTCTTTTTATTCACTCTGATGATTACAGTTCTCCTCTATAGCAGTGAATACTTGGGCACCTCGAGGTGGTGTCATGGTTAGCAAGCTTGTCTCGCTAGAACAATTACGACTGGTGAATTCGATCCTCACTGGGCGCCCCATACTTTCGGCCTTGTGCCACATCTGAGCTACGCTTGGAAAATCACTATAGCAGTGAATACTAAACAATCTCCTCACAGCTAAAGAAGAGACAAAGCAACATAAATGTGTTTCTACAGGAGGATGTTGAGAATACTATGAAAGAATATGTGGGCAACGTTGAAATTTGAGAGAAAATCGAAACAAATAGGACACTTATATTCAACACGAAGAGACAGTTGAAATCTCTAAGGCATATAAGGAGGGAAGATGGCTTGACAAATTTCGTACACTCAAAACAGATTGAAGACAAGCGGGACAGAGAAAAACCACGCACAATCTACCTGGTGATCTTGAGTAAATGGATAGCGGAACAAGGTTTAATAGTAATGTAACCTAGGGAAAGTTTCTGAATAGAATAATCAAACGAAGGTTGATAATAAACAATAATACTTAGGACAAGAACAATGCATATAAGATTCGCCAGCGGCGCATAGAAGTAGTAGTCAACTGCTATAAGTGAGTCAAGTGCATTCCTCAATGAATCACAAACTCTAGAACAACATACAGTATTTACTACTGTCCTTATATGAATGGAGACGTACCCATTATCGTCTGTAGGTATGCTACAACAAATAGAGATAACAAAAAGGCAAAAATTATTAAGAGCTACAAAGAAGAGGAAATTGTGGAGAGCCATAATCTCTAAGTTCTTAAAGAGATACGGCAGAATAAGAATGATTTCATATATAAGGGTGTGTAATTAAGCTTTACCAGAAAGGATATAATAGCAAGTGTAAGTTAAATATTTATGAAAAAAATTAAGTCAAATTAATTTTCAACGATTGCAGTCCAAAAGAAAGCCAAAGATTTTATTCCGCATTTAAGTAATCTGTGTTTTTTCCTCGAGAACGTTTAAAAGACGGTTTTAACATTTTCGTTTGAATGCACGTGTGGATTGCGGATCGGGAAAAAAAAGCAGTCAGGGAGCGAAGTTCGAATCCAGCTGATTTCGTTATCTTCACACACGCGCAAATAATTTAGGGAAAGGTGTGAAGCCATCTCTCCTGTCCCCAGCTATGTTTTAAATAGCAGGACAGCTTGGTTTCTATTGCCTTGGTTAGTAACCATTCTAGAAATGATGAATCGACAAAATCACCCACCTTTCAGTAAGTCGTGGTGATGCGTCGACCCATGAAAACGTACGGAAACAGAAATTCTTGAGTCGTGTGATCTCCGCATTCAACCACAGGTGAATAAACCGCTTCTTTGTTTCTTAATGTTCTGCCACTTAAGAATTAGTGATTGAAACAAATGAAATTCTATTGCCTCTGAATTTAAACATAAAGATATTTTTAGTTTTGTTTTTGTTTTGCAAAGTCTGCCTTTGTATAGTTATACTGGAGAATAACATATTTTTGCCTATCAAATCAAGACGCTTCGGACGTAAGTTTTCGTTTACTCTATAAAGATTCTGGCAATAATCCCTACACTGATCATAATTCCATGTACCAGTAGCCTGCAATAGATGATAATTTCATATTCCACCAGAGGAACGTCTGTGGGTGGAGACCTTTTTTTCATTTCATCTCAAGCAAAGCAATAAAGCCACTATGACACAAGGGTGTTATTGAGTGTGAGAGAATACGAAAAAATACTATTAAGGAGTAAGAAAAAAATAAAAAATAAAGACAAAAAAATTGAAAAGATAACGATTGACATTGCATTTAAATTTTTGAACATCAAAGTTGACGGGGAAGAAAGACGCCAGAAGAGACTTCCCCAAGCGAGAAATATGACAGAAGAAACTGTTAGCATAGACGTTACGGTTACATCTTTCAACTATTACGGTTACATCTTTTAACTTTAAAATGAGAGGAACTTACCACCAATCTAGCCCTGCGCTTAAATTCATAAAGTATAGGTTCCATAGAGGAAAGTTCACCAGAACAATTACCATGAAAATATTTACAGAAAAAGCGTACGGAAGCTACATTACAGCAGGATTTGGTATTGACGCTGTTTTTTTTTTTTCATTTTTGATGACCGCGGGCTTTTTATTTTTCTGTTCATTTGTAAATACATTTTCCATCATCTTTATTTCACGATATATATTTGTCTTTTTCTCTTTCTTAGTTCTTTTTATATCATTGTCTCTTATACATAAAGATACATATAGCTATCCATATCTAATAGGATATAACTATGCATGCATACATACATTTTACCTATTTATTCTACTTGTTCTTATCATAGACATCTCAAGGGAGTAACGCCTTCACTGAGAAATGAAGGCAAATAAAATAATATATATATATATATATACATCTATATATATATATATATATATATATATATATATATATTGATTACTGGAAAGAAATGTTCAGCGGTCACAATTTGGTCTTATGAGGTCAGCATAGCAGACAGTTAGAGAAAAGAACCAAAAGTCAATTGCCGATAATTCTTAGTTCACCCAAGAAAGCGCAAGAGAATTATTACAGATTGCTGAAATGCTTTTCCATTAAAAAACATAAGTTTACTTTTCGCAAGATAATTTCCTCCCGTCAATTTTCCTCGCCATCATTTTTGCTCCTGTATGTTGATATTGCTTCAGTAATTTCAATGAAGACGGTAGAATTATTTCAGAAAAAAAAAAACTACTTGATAAAAAACATTATTGATAATATTATATGATTCTGTATTTTATAGAATGGCGACTGTGGAAGTTGGTCAACATAAAAAAAAAAAAATCATTTCGATATTTTCGGTAATTTTTATAACTTTCCTGGATGTCACAAAGTTATAATCAGATTTCATAAATAATGAAATAACTTCTAGTCTGTGGCATCTATTTGTCTGCCTTGGTTTGGATGGATAATTTATTTTTCTGGTTTCTCTTTATTTTTTTGGTGAATCTAACCGCCATTACCATTTCTTTTATGCCTACTCATTCACAAATATACAACTAAAACAAATGATTCTAATAATATTTCTTTACATGATGGAGATTTTATCAAAATCCACTCGTATTGAAACTTACAATGACATTTTAATTTTTGCTGTCTACAGTGTGATTTGGCATACAATTCATTGTCAGCTGCTAAGAAAGTTGGTTCCCTGTGTCGTTTGAGATAAATGTTCTCTGCAGAATACATATCTATAAGTCTACCATTTGTCAATAATTACGATATTGCTGCCACATATGGTCCAGTACCCCTGCTATTTACTTTGAGATTCTTGATAAAATCCAAGGAAGAATAATCAATATTTATGGTCCTGATTTTGTAGATCGGCTTCACTTACTTTCCCAGCGCCATAAGGTCGACTCCCTGTACCTTTTCTATAAATACTTTCATGGTAATTGTTAGGGTGAGCTTTTTCTACGGTACCTAGACTTTTTCAATTTAAGGACAGTACTAGACTGGTTGACAATGATTTGTCTTGGGATTGATAGTGGAGTGGTTTCCCTTTGCCTTCTACACGGCGGTTTATGGAGACACCAACTCTAAGAAAAGTAGAAGAGAAAAGAATATTTACCTGACATCTGTTACGTGACATCCGGCAGTGAATTTTGGAAGATTTTCTAAAAGATGAAGAAGAGACTCGAGGCGACGGAAATGTGGTTCTACAGAAGGATACTAAGGATATCATGGACCGAGCCTGTGAGCAACGATGAGGTCTTGAAGAGGATGAAAACAAGGAGGAGGCTTATACTTAAAATCAAGAAGAGGCAGCTGAATTCCAGGCACACATGAGGAAGGAGAGCCTGGAAAATCTGATACTCACTGGTCGAATAGAGGGAAAGAGAGACAAGGGAAAACAACGCATCATATACCTAGCGGCCTTAAGCAAGTGGATGAAAAAAAGTGGTCTCGGGGAATTGACAGAGGGAAGGAACTTGTTGAGAGATGAAAAGGATAGAGGGAGGTGGAGAGCCACGACTGCCAACGTCCTGAAAGCACACGTCACATATAAAGAAAAACTTAACTGGTGTCGAGATCTCATCAATTTACAGTTGTGCGGGCTATATATAGCCGTAAGTTCTATGCCAGATAGTTTCTTTTTTCCGCATTTCTCTCTTGTGAGTCTCTCTTCCGGCTCCATGCTTTCCAGTCAACGTTAATTTTCAAAAATTTAAAAGCAATGTCAATCGCTATCTATTGTCCTCCTGATTACTCTTTCCTCTCCCAGCTCATTATTAATGTGTTTGTTCCTAATTCTTCCACACCCAGAAACCCCTTCTGTCTTAGTGGCTTTAGGTGGTGTTCACATAACGCAGACGGGGGCAGTACAGTTTCAGGAGAGGGCCCCAGTGTGTGCAGCTCTGAGGATCGACCAGCCGGACTTTAGTGTCGAATTTCCAGTTCTTGTACGGATGTTCACCGCGCCTACCCCGCAACACCTTCGTGTTTCTCCACTGATGGTGGTCACCCTGACACTCCTCTTCTTCCAAGTGCGGCAGAGGTCCGCGCACACTATGAAAATGAGACTAACCTCAGTTCTCGGCATAAGAGAGTTCGTTTGTGTCTGGCGTGTAGGGCAGTAATTGGTCCGAAGAAAGAAACACCACCATTACGGTGAGTCGAACTTATGGAAATGCGATCTCGTAGCCGCGAGGATTGGCGAGAGGAGAACTTGGGCGTATGCAAATTGGTTGGTGTTCGCTGGGATAAATGTGACGGCGGGAGACCACTCGAGAGAGTTGTGTGTAGCGAACTACGAGGCGGTGTTGGAACATTTGAGTGCAAAGATCTGTGGAGTTGTTGTAGCTGGATTGTAGCTGTCGTTAAGCTGAGGAGTGTTTCCGGAAGTAGGCGGTGCCAGGCCAACCCGTTCCGTCCCATTGTTTGGACCTAATTTTACGAGACCAACCTGTTCCCTTCCTATTGTTTGGACCGAATTTTGCGACAAGCTATTTCGGCATAATGGGGACAGATTCGACCTGAAATTGATTCCGGAGTTCGATGGCTCAACCCGGTACTTGACTGGGTGGAAAAAGTGGAATTACATTGCCTCTTGTCTGGCATAAAGAACATTGAACATGTTATTCCTCTGCGGCTGTCTGGCGGGGCTTTCGCTGTGTATCAACAGCTCAGTGCTGAGGAAAAACAAGATTATAAGAGAATCAAGGCAGCACTATACAAGGCGTTTGCTATCGACCCCGCCACTGCATGGGAACAATTCGAGGCAAGAACTTTACTTCCAGGCGAAACTGTCGACGCATCTGGCCGAGCTGACGAAGTTGACGGTGTTGTTCGGTGGACTGCCCGAGCGTGCCTTGGCATGGGGCCCTGGCAGGGCTCCCAACCGAGCAAAGCAACTCCTGCGAGTGAGCTTAAGCATAGACTCGTTGTCCCTTAATGACCTGGTAGACCGGGCCAGGACCGTGATGAAAGACAGCTCTGAGGTGAGAGAACCGGTAGTCGCCGCTGCACAGTCCACGCCAGTGATGATAGACCGTTTCAGGGCCCAGCCCCCGTAGTGGGGTCGTATGTTATAGGTGCGGTGGCCAGGGCCACATTGCGAGGAACTGCAGGAGGCGACTGACAGCTGTTCGCTGCTACCGGTGTAATGAGACTGGACATTTGGTCCGGGATTGTGTGGGAAACGGGGCCGGGGACAAGGTGCCAGCGTCGACCTCTTCCCCAAGCAGAAATTAGATGAGGCGCTTCCGATCATCCAGGTCTACATTAATGAGACATTGTGCTCAGCACTTCTCGATTCCGGTTGCTCCGCACCATAGTGTGCGCGGACCTCTGCCGCACTTGGAAGAAGAGGAGGTCAGGGTGACCACCATCAGTGGAGAAACACGAAGGTGTTGCGGGGGTGGGCGCGGTGAACATCCGTACAAGAACTGGAAACTCGGCCAACGTCGAGGCGCTAGTAGTGTTCGAAAAACCACTGAGTTTTGACCTGCTTCTAGGCTATGATGCCATCAGAGCTTTAGGTGGTGTTCACATAACGCAGACGGGGGGCAGTACAGTTTCAGGAGAGGGCCCCAGTGTGTGCAGCTCTGAGGATCGACCAGCCGGACTTTAGTGTCGAATTTGACCAGCAGCAGAAGACTTGGACCACCTCATGGAGGTGGTCGGAAAACCAGAACCAGCCAAACTGCGGAATGAGGTAGCCGAGTACCATGTGCCCGATCAAATAAGGCCTGCATACGAAGGGGAGCTCCGTGAATGGATCAAGGATGGCTGGTTGATTCCTTACCCCATGAAAACTTGGACCTCCCAAAGGCCTGATCCCGCTGATGGCGGTTGCTCAGCACAACAAAGCAAAGGTGAGGCCAGTGATGGACTACCGCGAACTAAACGCGCATGTTGATGCGTTCACGGCAGATGCTGACGTTTGTGCCAGCAAGCTACGAGAATGGCGCCAGCAGGGTTCCAATGTGTCCCTGCTGGATCTGAGAAAAGCGTACCTGCAGGTCCGGGTCAGCGAGGCGATGTGGCCATTTCAGACGGTGGTGTTTGCCGGCAGGAGGTACTGCCTTACTAGGCTGGGCTTCGGGCTGAACGTGGCACCCCAAATAATGAAGACCATCGTCAACGCTGTGTTGTCACAGGAAGAAACAATAAAGAGGGGACATCGGCGTACCTTGATGATATATATGTGAACGAAGACGTTGTGTCGTCATCACGCGTGAGGTCCAAACTGGCTGAGTTTGGTCTGACTTGGCGGACCCAGAACGTTTGGAGGATGGTGCCCGTGTCTTGGGCCTGAACGTTCAACAGGAGCGAGAGACCTTAAAATGGGGGCGCGGAACTGCAGTTCCTGAAGTACCCGATGTCTTCACGAGGCGAGCTATATTCTCCTGTGTGGAAGACTTGTGGGGGCATCTACCAGTGTGTGGATGGACTCGTGTGGCAACAGGCACCATAAAAAGAAGGGCAAGCGCAGTCACCAAAGGCTGGGACGATGAAACAACGGACGATCTGTTGGTTCGCATGGTGAAGGAGACCATTGCAAGAGTAAAGCAGGATGACCCCGCCAAAGGAGACTGGTGCGTGCAGGGAGACGAACTGAACGTGTGGGTGGATGCGAGCTCTCTGGCGATTGGTGTGCTGTTGGAGAAGAATGGGGCTGCGATTGAGGACGCCTGCTGGTTGCGACCGGTGAATGACGCTGCTCATATCAACCTGGCAGAGCTCGATGCGGTGATAAAAGGCATCAACCTGGCACTCCAGTGGAAAGTTAAGAAATTACACATACACACTGATTCGTTATGTGTGTACCACTGGATATCGGACACACTGACAGGCAAGGCCAGGGTGCGTACCAAGGCGGCTAGCGAGATGCTGATCAGACGGAGGTTGGAGACCATAAGAAAGCTGGTAACAGAGTACAACCTATCTATGGATGCGGTGCTTGTCACCTCAAACTGCAACCTTGCTGATAGGCTCACTCGTGTGCCACAGAGATGGTATGGCGCCATGAAGAAAGAAACTGAGCCAGTACCGTTACTATGTGCTGCCTCTGTTAAGGCGGCGGACAAAAATCAAGAGATACACCACAACAGTGGGCACCCCGGAGGAGACGGACATGCTATTTTGTACAGTTGACAAATCCGTCAGTGTCCAAAAGTGAAGTCAGAGCGGTGGTGAAGGAATGCCAAACATGCCAGTCAATCGACCCCGCCCCAGCTAAATGGCGGAAGGGTCGGCTGGGGGTACACGACTTGGGGCCGACTGGGTATGGACATAACCCATTACGGCAGCCAGCATTTCCTCACACTGATAGATTGCGGACCGACGAGGTTCGCAATCTGGCGCCCATTAGTAAGACAGGACTCATCCAGTGTCATCCGAGAATTGGAGTCCATATTTTATGAAAGGGGGCCGCCTGAAGAGATCCTTACGGATAACGACACGGCCTTCTGCAGCGGGGAGTTTAGACGTTTCGTAGACGAGTGGGGGATCCGGCTCAGACACCGCTGTGCATATGTGCCGAGTGGCAACGGCATAGCAGAGCGGTGCCACCGAAGCGTGAAGAGGATCGCGGCCAGGAAGCAGTGCACGATAGCGGAGGCGGTCTATAGATACAATGCAACACCAAAGGATGCCATGACTGCTGCAAGCGCACCCGCCAATGCAATCCATCGCTACCAAGTGCGCAACAAGGGCATTGACGCGTGTCTGCCTGATCGGCGGGAAACACGAGGGCCGTATAAGGTAGGGGACACCGTCTGGGTGAAGCCTCCCAATAGCCGGTGCACCACCAGCTTTCAAAGAAAAACGAATCACCGGCATCGTCAATGAGCAAGCAGTGCTGGTCGATGGTACTCACGCCATGTGAAGGATGTCCGCCCGCCCTAAATACGAACCAGTTGACTAGTAGCAGCAGTGGTGAATCATCCAGCGATGAACTGTGGATCCGACCTATGCCCCTCGGGCCTGATGGTTTGACTGCGGATCCCGACGCTGATGCTGATAGTTCTGACGCCCCTTCTGAGAGTCCCGATGAAGAAGTCCAGACAATCCCTCTTCGTAGGAGTGCCCGCAACAAACGACCGCGTCCGCAATGCCACATTTGTGATCTTGAGACCAGGGTGGAGTGTGGACATGAAAATGAGACTAACCTCAGTTCTCGGCATAAGAGAGTTCGTTTGTGTCTGGCGTGTAGGGCAGTAATTGGTCCGAAGAAAGAAACACCACCATTACGGTGAGTCGAACTTATGGAAATGCGATCTCGTAGCCGCGAGGATTGGCGAGAGGGAGAACTTGGGCGTATGCAAATTGGTTGGTGTTCGCTGGGATAAATGTGACGGCGGGAGACCACTCGAGAGAGTTGTGTGTAGCGAACTACGAGGCGGTGTTGGAACATTTGAGTGCAAAGATCTGTGGAGTTGTTGTAGCTGGATTGTAGCTGTCGTTAAGCTGAGGAGTGTTTCCGGAAGTAGGCGGTGCCGGGCCAACCCGTTCCCGTCCTATTGTTTGGACCTAATTTTACGAGACCAACCTGTTCCCTTCCTATTGTTTGGACCGAATTTTGCGACAGTTTCGTATGGGGTGATTACGATTAAAAAAAGAATAAGTAATGTATGTGGAATTTAATAATATGGGGAATCAAGAGATTCACTCTCAGTCGAACTCTCTGCATTTTGCAGTGAGGAACCCGGACGAGGCTTTGCCGAGAGGCAGGGTTTCGTCCGGAGGGGTAGACAGGCCTTGAACCCGTCTAGGCGGTTTCAGAAAGGCCATATTTTTGGCCGAGCCTACGGGGCTCGGAGATACCCACTTTAAACCGGCCTTGTGCCACATTTTATCCTCGTGGGTGGATAGATAAATACAGGAATTTAATAATATTATCATCATTTTCCTTCCTTAGACGCTTTTACAAATCTATCCAACGATGGCGTATCAGTGAGTCTGCAGATTGACAAGTAATTATTAACTAATGTTTTATCTGAAAAGTAGAATTTTCTATCCCCGTGAATAAAATATGCAGCTAAATTAAGTTTATTGACAAGAAAGGTGATTATATTGAAAATAAAAAAAAATTACTGTGTGAAATAAATACTTTTCTCATCATTAGGCTACAAATTCTGATGTACTACCCCAACCGTTGGTAGTTTCCAAACAGTTCATGTAGCTAGTTTTGCTCACAATGTTTAGGTCAACAGTTAGTATACTGCAACCATCTCGTCACTCCAAGCAGATATTTTCAACAAACCACCTGTTTCACAAATCGACAACTATGGTGATCACACACACACACACACACACACACACACACACACACACACACACACACACACACACATCTATCTATCTATCTATCTATCTATCTATCTATCTATCTATCTATCTATCTGTTGTGGATTCCGGGGATGGAATCCTGCACAAATAAATAAACAACGCCAGTAATTGAAATAGAATAATATGTGTATTAAACGTAAGAATACAAACTTGAAATGAAGATTAGTAGTCCAGGAATGCGGGTTAGTAGGAAAGTATATGTACAAGTGAAACCGTAATTATCTTTCTTTCTGGACTCTCGTATAACTCTGAGTGGACACCCTGTCTCGACGTTTGTCACGCTATCTCTCCGTAGTATAAGTATATTTGGACGAGTCCATCTTGTGTACAAAGGGCGAGCTCCACAATATATCTATCTATCTATCTATCTATCTATCTATCTATCTATCTATCTATCTATCTATCTATCTATCTAATTATTTGTTCCTCTCATCCTGATCATTGCAGTTCAGTTCACACATGAAGTAGCGAAAAACGTTTGGAAGCACACAAAATTTAATATTTTATATTTCACACACACATATTTATATGTGATAACATAATTAACACACACACACACACACACACACACACATATATATATATATATATATATATATATATATATATATATATATATATGCATAAAATAAATCCTAAAGAGCCAGATTACCCTGAAGATCCATTTAGATGAAACCTAGGTAGATAGTTCCTGGCTCTTTAGGATTTATTTTCTTCCTTTTCTCTACTTAGCGTATCGATCACTCTACCTTTTATTTTAGTTACTCACTTGGGTTTTTTCTTTGGACTGGAAATTTAAGGAACTGGACGATTTTTTCGCCCTGTTTGGATGTTTATACTTCTTTCTTTTTTTCCCCATTTTGTTCCTCGGAAACTAATTTGTTTTGATATACTTGCAAACTGTGCCACCCGGGGTTTTTTTTTACCAGCCGAGTATAAATATTAATATCTCATGCCAACGAGACAAAAGTATAGAGAAGCCGCAAATGTTTTTAGTTATAATGCAGATTTTTAAAATATAAATTATGCTTTTACACTTCGTATGTTGTGTATTGGTTTCGTGCGTGTGCGTGTGTGTGTGTGTGTGTGTGTGTATGTGTGTGTGGTCCGGCTAGTGTTTTTTTGCGTGTATATTTTTGTTCTCCATAGATATTTGTGTGTATGTGTGTGAGTGTGTGGTTCGACTAGTGTGTTCGGCCGTTATGTGTGTATGGTGTGTGTTTATGTGTGTGGAGTTATGATTTGTTTAGTGATGGTTTAAATTTCTCTATGAAGTTTTTTTTCTTGTATTTTTCTGTATGAATAAATGGCATAATTTTAAATTTACCGTTATTACTTTGTATCACATGTGTTGTGATACAAAGAGTTTTCTGTTGTCTGATAATTTAATGTTGCTTTTGTGAAGGGAAACTCTGTTGTTCTTGTTAAGTAGGTCTAGATTTCTTGCAATTTCTGTAAATAGTTCTGGATTGTTCTTGTATGTTGAGACTTATGCTAGAATTTGTTCGACGTTGCGTTTCTTTGGATTTCGTAGTTGGTCTAAAGGAATTTTTCTGCGAGTTCAAAAGCTTCGTTTATTAGTGTTGTGGAGTAGACTCGTTTTTGGAGATTTTTATATAGTTCTTCTAGTCAGGGTTTTTGGAAATGTTTGTCGGTCACTATAGTGCAAACGCTCCGTGCTAGGGAATAGGGGATGGATTTTAGGCAGCTTTTTGGGTGATGGCTCTTGAATTGAAGATTTAGTGAAGTGGGTTTTTACATTTCCCCATATATTTGTTCTGTCTGTTCACAGAGGTTTTCCTCTAGGTAAGCTAATGTTAGAGTGGCATATGTTGGTGCTATTTTCGTTCCCATCGTTTGGATATAGTTTTGTGGTTAAATTCAAAAGTGTTATTATTCAGAATTAGGTCTATACTATCGATAATGAATTACTTAGTGAATCTTAGATGTAGTATTTCTGGGTGTTTTCAATCCAGAATGTTGCTATATAGGCTGATGTCAAACGTTTCCATGAGTGTTCACTTTTTATGATATGGAGGTAAGGAAATGGATATCGTCTGATGTAGCACTTAATTTGTTTAGTAAACGGTTGTAGTATGGAGTCTATTAAGTTACCGAATTTGCTAGTTAGATGTGGAAATAGCCACTCTTTGCCTGATGAAGGCTGAAAGACCCAAAACTCGTGTAGCAAAAATATAGAAAATAAAATATAATATATAATTAAAAATCCACATTATAGCCAGAAGTTTGGCGGCTTCTCTCTACTTTATATATATATATATATATATATATATATATATATATATATATATAGGGTGTATCAAAAATACTTTTACAAACTTTGGGGATGGTTCCTCACACCAAAATGAGGTAGAATGTCCATATAAACATAGGTTCAAAAGGCCATCGTTGTACCTAGACCCAGCAACTCATATCAAATGTTCAAAATGTCATCCGCTTGCTTCTACACACGCAACTACCCGTCGGATCACACGGTGTCGAATGGTTTCGCAGGACTCCATGACAAGTTGATGAAGCGTCTCTGCATTATTAATGTCTGCGGGCCCTCTAGATAAAAATAAAAAAAGGGATGAGATCGGAGGAACTTGAAAGTCAAGGAACCGGCCCTCCCCTACCTATTCATCTTTCATGGTAGATGTCAGCCAGTACATCGCGAACAAAGTGACTAAAATGTGCTGGAGGCCCATCATGCATGAATCACAAAATTCTTCGTATTGCCAAGGGTACATCCAGTAGCAGATCTAGAAGTGTGTAGACAGCTCCTGCAAGACGTTCTGGGAGAACCTATGGACCTAACAGACAGCCACCTACAATTCCAGACAACACTTTAATCGGGAACTTATGCTGGTGTCTGGCCTGTATTATGCCACGGAGATTCCGATCCGCCCACAAATGTTGGTTGTGTAAATTTGTTATGCCATCTCTTCCAAATGTTGCATCATCCGTAAACAAGACAGAAGAGACATACAACGGATCGTCAGTTTGTGCAATAAACCATCGGCAAGAGTTCTCCAGTGGTGAATGACCAGAGGGCGAAAGATCTTGCACATGTTGCAAATGATACGGATACAGGAGCTGATCTTTAAGTACCTTCTATGCAGTATTATGAGATGTACAATATGCTTGGGCCATTTGACGTGTAAAACGTTTTCTTCGTGGTCAGGCGTACTAGTAGATCTCGCTCTTGCTCGATCCATAGATTGTGGTGCCACGCATCCTGTCTCACCAACGCGACAATATCCAGTCAAACGGAACACTTCCCAGTTAACTTACTATTATACGTTAAATGTTGAATAGAGACTAGCCATAAACGTACAAATACAATCTAGACTACATGGCACCACAGCGCCATTTATTGTAAACTTTATTTAAACTTAACTACTCCAAAATGAAGGATTTTCAGAAATCTGTTTATATGGACTCTTTTCCTTGTTTTCGTGTGAGGAACCCGCCCCGAAATTTATATATATATATATATATATATATATATATATATATATATATATATAAAAGGCAGGATGTGTGTGTATGTGTGTGTGTAATGAATGCACGGCCCGAATTTTCGACGGACATGCACCAAAATTTACATGCACATGCTCCAAATTAGCGTGAAGGCCAAGACCGACATTGCATTTCCCAACTCCCAACGATAGTGGAAATAATCGATTTTTTCATGCTTCTACGGCAGTTTTCATGTAGTTTGCGGCCATTTTGTACTGGCCAGAGTGAGAGCCAATAGCTGGCTGCCACGAATAGGCAGGAAGATTCTATTGGCCAGCGTGAGAGCCAACAGCTCACTAACACGAATGTTAACTAGCATGCTAGCATGCAAAAAATATCGATAGCTGCATTCGTCACAAGTGGGAAAAATTTAAATGGCCCTTTACTCCAATTGGCTCATTCGCTTGCTTAAACTCAACGTTGATTCTGATTCCGCAGAACTGGGTTGGGTGAAAAAGTATTTGTTGTTAACATTTTTTTCATTCGGTTTTCCAGTTACGAGTCCTTTTTAAAGCTGATCGTTTTGTGTCCATTTTGTTTAGT